CACCCTTCAGAATTGGCAGGATTTAGAGTGAACTCCTAGTCTGCCACTGTGTGACCTCTGGCAAGTCACTTAATTAAACAGAGTATAACTCTTCATCTAGCAGAGTCATGATGAGGAAGAAATGGAACACTGCACACGACAAGCACAAGGCAGACATTCTATATGTGATCACTGCTGTTCAGACAACCAGTGGCTCCTGGCCCTCCTAAGTGTCCATTCCTAAAAACTAGCCAGGCACGGCAGCACACTCCTTTAACCCCGGCACACTTGGAGGAAGAGGCAGAAAGATTTCAAAAGTTGAGTCCAGACTGGGCACCTTAGTGACTTAGTGAGACCCTGTCTCAAAATTAAAAATAAATAAATCAATAAAGGGCTGGGATATAACTCAGGGCAAATGCCCTAGGTTCAATCCTTTATAACACACACACACACACACACACACACACACACACACACACACACCCCCCTAAAAACTAAGCAAACACAATGTTAAGACTCCTCTCCCTAGAAAATAAGTATGTATTGACCCAAGACATACTGTCAGTAATTTCACATAAACACTCATCAGAGCCTTTGACACCGAAAGGCTCCCAGGTCAAAAAATGCTCAGCAAAAGCCAACTTCTGTTTCCTTATCAGAAAACACAGCCCCTACACAGCCAGGTGCTCAGGAGTCCCCGCCTTCCAGTCCTGCTCCCTTTCAGCCAAGTTGTTCCTTTCATAACCTAAAACAGTATTCCTAAAACAGTATTCAAAGCACTCAGCCCTGGAAATAATAAATACACTTTTGTATAGTGTTTCCTTCGTAAACCTTCTGATGCTAACAATGTTTTTGCTAAAAAGCCAAGAGGGGAAGTAAAGAAAAAGCACAGAAATAGAAACACATACCTTAGCCATTATAATCTGATCTATAAAAAATAAGTGTGCCTTACTTCTCACATACAAGTACCCTGAGAGGTTGGAACATGCTGATCTAATAGTCCGAGTAAAGACCTGTATTTAGGAGGTAAGGACATAAAGCCAGACTTTAAAACTCAGCCTCAATTAATGTGGCCCAAAATCATCCAAAAATGAAACTGTAAGATAAAAGGCGGACGTGGAACTTTGTAGAGTAGAGAACAGCTGACCCCACATGAACCCATGGCTCAACCAGTAGGAGTGTGTCAGCCAGCTTCAGCATGTGCACAATACATCTGCTGCCAACAGTCTTGGGGATAAAATGTGATCTAGACTTCAGTGCCTACTTCCATTCGAGGGGATGGAAAAACAAGTTAAATGAAATCACAAGGAATCAAGCCAACTGTGGGACATTCTACAGGCTAAGTGATGGTTCTCCTTCACAAGGGAGGGCATGAGCGTGGTTCTCTTCCACAAGGGAGGGCATGAGCGCTATATACTACAAAGAATGCAACAAAAATAACACAACCTTGCCACACGCAAGGCACAAACCATGTATGGACACTAATTCAAACTAACATATTGTAAACAAACAGGGATATCTGAATTAGACCTGTCGTTAGGTGACACTAATGAACTAACTGTTCATTTTATTAGGGGGATGCTGGCAATGTGGTTATACAAGAAATTACCAATTATTCTCATAAATACTGAAATATGTTAAAATGACACTTAAGATCTAGGATTTGCTTCAAAATACTTCAGCAGTAGCAACAATAAAAAATGAAGTAAGGCAAATCCTCGTTAACTATTGAATCTGGGTGTGGGTCATAGGGGTGGTGGGTGTACAGATTTATGTTCCTCTCTCCAGTTCTGTGTATGTTTGAAAATGTGCATGATTAGAAAATAAAACTCTAGCTTTTAAAGTCCTTTAGGAAATAAAATGGAAGCAAAACTATTTTCTTCTGACTTGCTCATTTATGAGACAATGTGCTTGATGTCATCTCAGAGATTAGAAAGAACTCAGGAGAGTATCTAGTTCGGGGATTCTTGAACCTGGCCGTGCATCAGAAACACCTATGAAGCTTATATGAACTATCAATCTTTCCCAACCCACCTCTCCAGGGAGGGGCCCTGGAGAAATGGTAATTGTTTTCAAGTGCCACAGGGGTTTCTGATGCAACCTAGACTTCACACCCTGCCGGCCCAGCCAAACAGTTGTCCAGCAGTGTGTTCCACTCAAGCCCTTGGAGAGACAAGGACACACAGGATTCCATGTTCTCACTGTGATGCCAGCCTTCACTCTTTTTAAAAAGTGAAATGCCTGCCTTTGTGCATGTTATTTGCAAGGCCTCCATTCCCACCTTCACCTAATGCGTTTGTTACCAACACTTCGATCTACATAGTCACTTGTGTTGAGATTGAACCTGGAAAGGGAACTACTGCCAGGTAAAATTCCCTGGGGAAAAAAAATGAATGTACCTACCCAACTGAAGGGTTTTTCACTGGGAAAAGCACTGGGGAGATGCTTTTCCCCTTTTGCTCAGTGAGCCCAGAAAACCCCAAGCAAACTGGCCAGGGCCAGAATCCTTGAAATACCTGGTTAAAGCTGAGTACACCTGGGGAGAACCTGAGCATACCTGGCAGTTGTACCTCTCAGAGCAGCCATCAGCTGGGTCACCCAAGGAAAGAAGGCAAAAGAGGAAAAACTCACAACTCTAGCTTTGTTCTCATAGCACTGCAAATACTGGGAACAAACTCCTGACCACAAAACTGACTGGCATTTGATCAGAAACATGTCAATACAGGTCAGTGCAACAAGGAAGCCAGGACAACATTTCACAAGATGAACACTCTCAAATCCTTCAAACCACTCCCTTTCAACAGATGATATCTGTGTTTATCTAGACTGACAACCATCACCCCCAGAAAACATGACTCCCAGAATCCAATGCAGAGTCTAGGGGAGGGGGAGTTCCTCCAGGTAAGCTTTAACACATCACCCAAAGCCAGCTTGCCACACACCTGGAGCTGATGATGAATAACCCTTGCAAGTCTCACTGTATGCATCAGCCTTGGTCTTGTTTGACATTTCAGAGTGTGCACTCGCTGAATTTCTTTTTCGTGCACCAGAATTATGTCAAACACAGAGACGCAGGCAAGATGCAACTTGCAGAATCATTTACACCAAACTAAATGTCTGGTTCATTGGTTTATCCACGACATGAGGCTTTGGGAGCTCCTGATCAGAACTTTCTTCTCTACATTTTAAGTCTGGAATTGTTCCTCAGACTTCCCCTTTCAGGTCACACAGATCCCTCCCTATACAGAAGCTTTTAATACCACAGCCTGGATCTCTACAAGGGAGTGATACGTCTCTTCTAAGTTCCTAAAATGATCTTAAAGCATCAACAGAGCCAACTCCAAGGTTTGGTCTCCAAATGCCCAGCCCGAGAAATGGAGGGAAGGAGAGAGGGAACTGGATACCTGGAGACAACAAACGGGTTCACTGACTCCAAACCTGTCCTTCCTCATTATAAGTGGCACCCTTTGGTTGTTACCACTGTATGAAAATGAGAACCTTGGAAACTAGTAGCCCAGAAGACTTATAAATATTCACGTTTGCACAGTCCAGCCAAGCATCCTGGGAACCAGTGATCAGAGTCAAGCTCCCCGGAGGTCATGACTTCCCTCTTCCCACGCCACGCCACTCCCAAACCCAGCCTCGCCACCACCTCTCCAACATAGAGCCCAGGTGACCACTTCATTATTCATATTCTTCCATGTCAAAGGCAAGCAGAATATTCTCAGGCTCAAGATTCTCCTCGAAACAGAAACACAGCCGGGCGTGGTGGCGCACGCCTCTAATCCCAGCGCTTAGGAGGCTGAGGCAGGAGGATCGTTGCGAGTTCGAGGCCAGGCTGGGCTACAAAGTGAGCTCAAGGCCAGCCTGAACTGCATAGCAAGACCCTGTCTCAAAAAATCAAAAAAAAAAAAAAAAAAGAAACAGAAACATATTTCTGGAGGGAAAGAAATTAAAGTCCCCAGACTGGTGCTGGTGCTGGCCCCACAGAAAGGTGTCCTGTACCTCCGCCCAAACTTCAACAAGCATGACAAGCAGGACACTAGCTGCCCACAGCACCACGAGTAACATGAAAAACAAAGCTGGAGACACAGGGACACGGAGGGAAACTTTCTGACAATTTCTTTTAACTATAGTTGCATTACTTTCCAAAACCCCAAAGTTAGGTCCCGATTTTGTTTTCTCCCTGTCAAAACCACCACTAGTCAGCACATCTCACTTATGACGCTCCTTAGAAGAAAAATAAAATTATTAAAACCATCTTCTTTTAACTGAGCATGAAGCACAAACTTAAGACTTTACAGTCAGACTCTAATGGGAGCCTCAATCTGAGCCAATTTTTCATACTCGGGGAGTTTCAAAGTTGCCAAATGCTTATATATGAACCAGATTTCACAGAAGACTCTTTGCAACTGATGTCTTGGATTGACACTGGAGTACAGAAGTGTACAGCATCCAGTATCCTCCCCCAGTGTAGCACTGTCCATTTATTCCCAAACTCTGGAGAGGTCACCTTTCTACAAGTTAATAATCAGAGAGAAAATAAATGCCATTTTTCTCCAGCTCTTGGTAACAACTTTTGTCATACAGAGGCACCTCATGGCTAATGGCTGCCCTTGGAATACAGATCTTTCTTTGAACTCTCAAGCCATCCACTGAGAACCAATCAGATCTGCAAATCTGTGGTGCTATCATGGAAAACCCTATCGGTGGGTATCGCTCAAGAAGGCATCAACACAAAACCAGGGGCTGGGGATTTAGCTCAGTGGCACAGCGCTTGCCTGGCAGGCGCAAGGTTGTGAGTTCAATTCCCGGTACCGGAAAAGAAGCAAAAAAACAAAAAAAAACAAAACAAAAACCAACAAGCTTCAAGAAAAGGATGGTCTTCACCGCTATCTAAATGAAGTCAATAAAGCAAAGACCATGTATGAACTACTCCTTCAGTAGTAGGCATAAATTCAATTTTAATGGAGAAAATGTTGTAATTAAAAAAATTTTTCAGTTCCAGACAAGAGGCTTACCTGACTCCTCTCTTTGTCCACTTTCTTAAAACACTTATTCAATGACAAATTATGTCTCACTGAGTTTTTCCACCCAGTAGGTGCATTTGCAAAATACGGAAAATGTTCCAAGATCCAGTTGTAGATATCCTTCACGGGCAGGCGCTTGGTTGGAGAGTCCTCGATGGCCATAAATATGAGGCAGCTAAAGGAGTAGGGGGGCTTGCAGTTGGGGTTCTGCCTGGCATCGTAGGGCATGTCAGAGTGGGCAGGGGACGGAGGGGTGTCGTCGTCCAGGTCCTGGACGGGGCTGACACTCCTGAGGACCGACTCCCCGAAGCTCTTCAGCAAGTTCTTGCTCTCATGTAGCCAGTTCAGGTTGGTCAGCTCCTCATCTTCCATGGTCCCCTCTTCTAATCTGATGTCAGGCAGAGAAAAGTCGAGGTCATCGTCTTCCTGAAGGGCCTTGGAGAAAGCGCTGCCCGGGTAACACTGACTCAGTCCACTGGACACACTAATTCCTGAGCTTTCTGGCTTCTTACTGGCAGGCATGACTGGACCCATTTACGTGAAGGCTCCTGGAAAGATAGTACAGAGAAACAATGAGCTAGGGAGCCTCAAATCGCAAAGGTAGCTTGGGCTCCAGTTGTCTTGCTGTCCCGTGCCTCCTCCATGGATCCTAACTACACAAGGACATCACCTCCCAATTGTCCCTGAGCCACAGAAACCCATCGTCCCCCCACCCCACCCCCGCACAAAACTATACCAGCAAGAGTC